CCAGGCCTGCCGGTGCCCCTCACTTCCAACCTGCTGGCCCTTTCCCACCCCCCAGCCCTGCTGGTGCTCCTCATTCCCGACCCACAGCTCCCTGCTTCCCTTTGGTAACCCCAGATGGGAAAAATGAGCCAGAGACCTGAAGTGACTTGCCAAAGACAACGACAGAACTGTGCGCTCAGACTGGATTTACAGTTCAGGAGCTCGTTGCTCCCAAGTCCTGAGCTCTGCTAGGGATCCACTGCACAGAAGTAGGAGCCTGCCTGGTGCATTTGACTAATGTTTCTGGGTCCTAGCTGAGGAAAGGCACGTAAAAGGGCCAAGGCCAAAAAGAGAGCCATGCTGGGGCTCAGACTATAAACTAGGAAGTCCCAGTTCTATGCTCCAAACATGATAGCAAGACTCTCATGCCGACTTAATGCCAACTCAGACTTTGCTTTTCTGATTTTTTCATTTCCTTTTCTATATTGGCTGCTACCCACAGCAATTCTTTCCATGGGAATAATTCCTGCCATATTTAATCCTCTGGGGATGGCAGGGGAAGGAAAATGCTATGTCTATGAGTGGTTAATCTTTTTTCTACCATGGTAAAACCATTACAAAAAGGAGTTAATGCCTGCACGTGTCAAGTGAACCTATTGAAACCACAAGAATTGGAGAAAAAATTATTACCTGCAGCCAAAACAGAAACCCCATGTTCTTTGGTTTCTATACATTATGTATTAACTCCTAAAACATTTTTCATTTATCACATATGGAAGTTTTCAGTATACAGTGAAACTGGTCCAAACCCCACGGAAAACAATGAGATGTCTTTGTACTGATGTCTGTGGGCTTGAGATCAGGCCCCGATAACCACTGCTTTGCATATGGCATTGTAATGCATTGACAGCTTGCAAATTCTCTTTAGATAAGTTGTTTGCTAGGTTCCCTGCAACATAAAACAATCTCTATGCATCACTATGATACTAGTCAATGAAGACCACAGACTGAAATCCCATTTCGGTCTCACCATATTTCTAAACCTTGTCCCCTACTCCTGATCTTTGCTTTGAAATGAGAACTGCAAACATGTCAAGAGCATCATAATCATGCACCTTTCCTTTTTTTATTGAACTCCCAGCTTCTCCATTGACCGTCCTTCTTCTGGCTTTCAAATTTGACTTAGAAATCTATTTAAGGATATGTTTCACTTGGAGCTTGACAAAAGTTCTGTGGATTACACTGGGTGCAAGCAGATGCTTAGGGGCTCTGATAAATCAGCTGTAAATGATAGGGTCTGATCCTGTAAAGCTTACTGAGGCAAAGTTCCCACTGCAGTCAGCTGCAGTTTTGCTCTAGGAATAACCTAAAGTGCTCCAACTGTCCCTTTCCTTACACCTGTGGAAGGGCCTAAGCCAGTGCTCACTGAAGTCAAGGAGAAGACTCCTGCTGATTTCAACAGGCCCTACACTAGGTATAACTTTGCTGAAGTGAATGAAGCAACACTGATGTAGAAGTAGAATCAGTCCCATGATCTTTCAAAAATATTGGTTTTTGCCAGAACTGAACAGAAACACCTACTACCCACATCAGGCTTATTTTCAATAGCTTAAACTCAGGGTAGGCAACCTTTTCTGCCTACTTCTTGGGTCAGAGGCAGGGAGGTGGCCAGGAGCCAGAACCCAGCCACCACTGCTGTCAAATGCCACATGTCCACAGGTCAGATCCAGTGGTTCTGCTGACCAAACCCAGCCAGCGGGCCACAGGTTGCCAAACCCTAGTTTAAATGCGTATTTCTATTGGTTTAAATCCTTTCCATATGTTTTTAAGTAAAAGCAACTGTATGCTCTGCAAAACTCTTCAACCCTTCTCCAAGGATTAATGAAAACATAACCTTAGAATCTACTTTGAATATCACAACTAATTAGCACTTTAACCCAAGCCTTCCAAATCACAATTTTAAGGATGAAAAATTTTCACTTAAAACCAACTAATAAATGTTTTCTAGAACTTGCATCATTTCACTTGCAATGCATAAAAGCTGAAGGTTAATTTAATTAAAACTGATGACATAGAAGCACACAAAGTTGAACCCTTGCCAGCCTGGTACACTGCATCACTATTTCAGACTCTCCTGAATCAATTAAGACTTTGCACTATAAATAAGCACAGTTGACAAAGCAGCCATCAAACAAGTCATGGTGTCAAACAGATTAAAAACTGGGGATACTGATCCAAACTTCACACAGAAAACAATACATCCAGAAGAAAAGGGAGCCTCACAGCTCTCCAGCTCTGGTTTTGTATGACTGACAATGGTTAAGAGGTTACTCAAACATTTGCAAAACAAAATATACAGAAATGCACCACATAGGCAATATAAGGCAAGGGTATTTATCGAAATGGAAACATACAAGTGCCTATAGCATGTATTACAATTGCAGGACCAAACTATAGAGTAGGATAAGATAAGCATTACCATCTTTTCGTTGTTCAAGACTGAGGACTTTCCTGGTTGATAGTCGTAAATGCTCTTGGGCTCTGCCCGGTACTTTCTAGTATCCACCTTCTTGTCAGGGGGCTCCCAATCATTCCTGGGGAAAAAAGGGCCAATTAGTTCAAAACCCTGTTGTTACCATGGAAACCATTTTTTTCTTTGGACATGCTCCTTTTGCAGCTAATCCTCATTTAATCAAGGAACTTTCTGAATCTGTGCAGGATGTCTCTGCAAGAGGAACAGTTCAGACAGCTTTGGTGTCTTTTTAATGGTAGCCAGGGTTAGATTTATGTATGCCTGTCAGCTCCTACAAAAAACCTGAAGGGATGGGAAGGGTTTTCAAATCTTTTCCATTCATTGTCAAACTTTCACTAGAGATGGGTGTGAACTATCCTGGAGAATTCCTAACACACCCAAACTGTGAAATGAATCTGTTTTAGAACTGTTCAGCTGGCCCCAGCACCTTAACCTCAAACAAACTCACCCAGTCTCCATGAACACTGGGAAAGCCAACTTTTGTAGTGCGCACCTACCTTTCTGATGCTGTGAGGTTTGTCTCCACTACAGAACTGAACTGACTGTATTGGATTGGTGTAAGTGGCTCAGAGCATCCACACACGTCATCCTGAACTGGTTAAGATTTGCCCCGTGTCCACACTATTTGCTTAGACAATTTCTGATGCAATGTATTTTAGGTACTTATCCCACAATTCCCAGTTTATCCCCCTTTTGTGCGCATAATGAGGGTAACATTCAGGCAGCACATTCTGACAGATTTTGCAAGGCCACCAGGAGGAGAGTAAGGAGAAAATTATACCATATTAGCTTCTTTGAAGCTATGCTGAATATACTTCTGTTTAGATCAGATTAGTGGAGTATTAATTGGTATTAAACTTCTTGCTGATAGTTTGCCTGTTCTGGCCAGTTTAGACCATTTGCAAAATTGGCTTGCATGTGGGTGGCCGCAAGTTCTACAAACATTCTATGGGCTTCAATCAGTTTGGTTTCAATAGCAGATCTGATTGTATAGCAGATATGATTGTTTTAGCATCTCCAACCCTAGGAAACACTCTCTCCAGCTGAGTCCTGCTTTTGTTACCTGCTAGTGTAAAGCATTAATTAGTCTAATCTTTTGATTTGCAAGAGGCTACAATACTTCCCCTTTAATTGCTGTGTTGGAAAGCATATCTATCAAAGAACACTGTCTTCTGATCACATGCCTTAGGTCAGGGGTGAGCAAAATACGGCCCACAGGCCCGCAGGCAGGGAAACTGTGAAAGTGGCAGCAGGCCAGGGGGAAAGAGCAGTGAGCGGGTGTGCAGAGCTCAGTGACATCTGGGCAGGAGTGCAAGATCTGTGCCAGTGCACTGGGGCCAGGGCCGGTGGGGCTCAGAGTGAGGTGGCAGGAGTGCAGGGCCCAGGTTGGCAAGGGCTCTGGAACCAGGCTGGCTCCCCCTCTCCCTGCTGCTGCAGGCCAGCCAGGCTTCATAGAGCCCTGCTGGCCCACTCCTTGCACTCCTGCAGCCCCACTGTGGACCCTGCTGGGGCTTGCACTGGGGCTGGTGCTGGTCCTGGCACACTGCACAGGCCCTCTGCTCCCACCCAGCTGTTGCTGTACTCCGCACACTCATTCGCTGCCATTCTCCCTGACTGCTGCAGCCATTTGCCCCCCACAGCCCCCACCAGTTGCTCCAGCACCACATGGTTCCTGGCTGCAGTGCTGGGCTGCAGGACACAGCAGGAGCCAGCCTGGCCCCTGAGATTCTTGGCTGGCTTTGTGTGGTGCCCACCAAGCTGGTCTAGCACCTGCTGCATCCTACTGTCTAGGTCATGCAGCTGAGATGTGGTGCCAGAGTGGTGAGCTAGGGCAGGGGGGGGACAGGGAAGCAGCAGAAGGGCAGCAGTGGCAGATGGGGGGGAAGTGCTGGTGAGCGGCAGCACAGGGCCCAGCTGCTGCCCCAGGGGCAGAAGCGTGAAACCCGGGCTTGGAAAAGTACGGGGGGGGGGGGG